TTTTGCTAATCTAATACCCCTGTGTATCCTACCCAGTTCCTTTAGACACAATAAATATCTGTCAATGAGAACAGCAGAGCCTTTCTAAAACAACGCTTTAGGGGATTCCAATACACTTATTGGTGTGTATAAGAAAAAAACTATAGAGAACAGAGGCCCTTCAGTCCTTTTGTAGAAAAATCCTTTGGATGAAGTTCAAGACTAATCTTCCTTATTCAGAAGTCCACTCCCTAGCCAATGGTGCTGTAGTGTGATGCCAGTACTGTAATAAATAATGATTATCATATACACAGAAAAGATCAGTACTTGGGCCTTACTGGGAGTTGAAGATAATGTGCTGGTTGAGAAGCCACAAAGCAAAGCCAGTCATCTTTGCGGCTGGGTTTATGCCATAAACACAACCTAAGATGCATAAGGGAACTTGAGAATCATTATCTGTTGGTGCCAGTTAAAGACAACAGCATTTTAGGCACAGTAATATAACCAAAAAGGTGTTTTTGTTTCTCTTTACATCTCAATAAGAGATGATCCCAATATATTTGGCTACTGCCTGTGTTAGAACAAAGCATCTGATGGTCAGAGTCACTGAAGAAGTCCTGCTCGTAATATGATGAAGTTAGCAGTTTCCACTGAGGCCTCTCTATGCCTAGGAAGGCTCTGATCCATGTTTTTCCAAATGGGAAGACTGATGTAATGAGAAACAGGGAGAAGAACGTGACAGCCAAGAGTAGCAAATAAGACTTCATTTGATCCAACTGCTAAGTACTTAATTCTTCCTGATTTAATGACACCCTCATACACAAATCATATTCACTCACCCAACCAGCCAACAGCCACAATTATTGGAAACACACTGCATGCACCAGGCGTCCAAGTAAGTGCTGGGCTTATAGAGCTGGCCTCTGAACTTAAGCATTCTCTGCAGAACAGGAAGTCCCGGTAAACACTCTTCTCCCCCAGCCGGGAGTCAGACCATCATTCAACAGTCTTGGACAGGCTATGGAGAGAGCAGCAGCTTGGAGGCTGCTTGGGGAAATTCCTGACCTCTGAGGTTCCCATCCTGCCCTGGAAGTTCAGGAGACAGAAACTTTTTACACAAGCCTATTTGGTCTCTGGGGTCTGCTTTCTTTGTAGCACAAAAGGCTCTCAAAAGCCTGAAGCAGCACAGGTAACCTATACATACACACGCAAGCCCCTAAAAGCATCATTCCAGAGTCGGTACAGAGTAACTGAGCCGACAAGGTTAAAGTGATCGCCTAACCCAACTCATTTAAGATGACTTGCTTAGAACCACACAGCCAGGAGGTAAGAGTTGGGACTAGAACCTAGGTCTTCTCCTTTCAGCTGAGGGCTCCTTCCGATGTGCTACACTGACCTAGTAAAAAGGAACGCGCTCTTAGCAGGAGGAGGGGACTCTTTCAACACTCTTATTGACTAGTATAGCACACACACAGTGAGGCTATAACACACAGTGCCCACGGCTGAACATCAGCCATGCCTCTTCCCACCCTCACAGCCACCCGGCAAGGGCTCCAGTCCTTATCACCGAGATGTGCCGACTGCTCCATTTCCTTGGAGAGGAGCATGGCCTGTCTACACTTGGCCCTTCTATTCTACAAACAGACACACACACACACACACACGGTGTCAGCATACTCAGATACCAGAGGACAGTCACATGGGAATAAGATGACAAAAAAGGCTGATTGCTATTAATGTGCATTCATCTGTCAGAACCAGTGTAAAATGAACCCTGTGATTAAAGGCGTCATCCAAATCACAACCACGGCCTGAAAGGGACACTGCCGGGCGGGGGCGGAGAAAACGAGATGGGAGGGGCTCCCCTTTCCCAGGCCTGGCATCAGAAGAGTCACGCTGAGGAAAGACCTGTTGGATCAGCTGTTCTGGGCCGCTGGAAGGGGAGCCCACACTAGAGGTTACCGGGGATAGAGTTTCAGAGTGAGTCACCAGGTCCCAGGGACTCCAAGACACTTCTCCAGCTTGGTGTTCATGTACTCGGTGGAAGGAGGCTGGCTTCTCTGCCAGGCGACTCTGCCTCACACAGTTGTCCTTGCATGGTATGTCATCTCGGGCAAAAAGCTTAGACTCTCTAGCCTCCGTTTCTCCACATGCACGATAAGCATGGCACCATGTTTGGCCCATGATACACAGGAGACAGGTGAGATGGGAAATGAGGCTGCCCTCTAAGGGCAGAACCATGAACGCACCCCATATGGATCAGCTCAGACGCATACTAGGTTACCTGAAAGGCACAGAAGAGGCCCCAGGACAGCAGGCCTGGGAATGTAACTAACTGCAAAGTAAGCAGAGATTACATGAGGCAGAAGTGCATGTTCACTGGCGAGGTGGGGAGATGCCGAGACATTCAGCCACAAAAGCCAGAAGTCAGAGTCACGGAGGCAGAGCCTGGACAGTCTGTGGAACAGACTCTAGGAGCAGCATGTACCCAGCAAGGTCACTCTGAACACCGGGCTTACGATGGAGCCAGAGGCCAGGAAACACTCCTGTCACACAGTCAGCTGACTTGCTCCATTTCCGTGCTCAGGGAGCGACCCTCTAGTGACACGTCTTCTCACAGCACGCGCCTCTGACAGAAGAATGTGCTTGTGAGGCTAACGTGAGTACCTGGTCTGGAACACTGTTTAATGTCTCACACTGAACAAAGGACCTGATTTCTGGTTCATACATCGGCCTCTTTTGAGCTTTGTCAGTGTGACTTAGTATCCTAAGGTCCATAATTTCAAAACCTATGAGTCTGAGTTTCAGACTCTGAGAGGCTGACAAATCGGCCACTGGTGAGGGAGCAGTTTAGTGAGGAAACTGTGTGGTGAGTTCCCTGAAGGGATGAGGTGCCATTAATGCTGACCAAGTGAGATGTCCAGGTGACTTTCGTAGCAGGACTGGTGAGGAGATGGGACGATAATGGGTGTGAAAGCATCTTGCAACCTGAAGCGTGTCCACAAATCACAACTACCATTTTATCAGGTGGTACATGAGAGCACCAACCCATGAGTCACCCCTCACGTGAAGGCCAGAGAAAAGCGATCTGACAACACAGGAAGCCAACCTGGGGTTCAGCCTGGCTGGCTGAGTCATGAGCTTGGGTGCATTGGCCCATTTTTCCTCTAAGGATCTCTCCTGCCTTTCAATTCACGTTGGTCATCATCTGTAATTTCTTTAACAGGGGCACAGGGATCCCACTGACCTGATAGGCCTCACTTATTCCAGTAACTCTCCTTTTCAAGAACCTCTGAGAGGACAATATTCTAAAGACTGTCTCAAGGCTAACTGCTGTGTACACATATGTGGGGTGGAGGGAAGGGGCAGAAAAGATCCCCAGGGTAAGAATACGATGGGGACTGTTGTCCCCACAGTGTAAGTTTATAAAGTTGGGGATATTTAATAAGCTATTACAAATTCCCTACTACTTGTAAATTTTTAAGGAGTTAATTCTTTATAAACAGTATACCATCTTCTATTTTCTTCCTATATGTAAATTTTTAAGGAGTTAATTCTTTATAAACAGTATACCATCTTCTATTTTCTTCCTATAAACTTCCAATCTCACAGCCATAAAACACTTTGTAGAACCACCCCTGGAGATATTCAGGAAGCATAAGAGAATGAATTTGAGTTTTATATGTGGGAAATCTTTGCAAATGTCCAGCTGTCCAGAGGAAAAAAAATGGGCTGCCTTAAGAAGTGGTAGATTCCTCATCACTGGAGAGGTCCAGTCACACACTAGGGAATGTCTTTTGTGAGGAGGACAGAGAAGATTTAAATCCTTGGATTGGCAAGACGACAACTTGAACATCTACCCCCTGACTTTCCTACTTCCATGTATTTATCTTTTAATACCTCTACATATTATGTACCTACTACTATGTATTAGTATTTGTGTTTACCGTCCATAACCCCCAGGCTCAAGGTCTGCCTTGAGTCCCATTTGAACTAAGAGCAATGGAGAAAAGTGAAAGTGTTATTTGCTCAGTCACCTCCGACCCTTTGTAACCCCCTGGACTGTAGCCCGCCAGGCTTCTCTGTCTGTGGAATTCTCCAGGCAAGAATACTGGAGTAAGTTGCCATGTCCTTCTGCAGGGGATCTTCTCAACCCAGGGATCAAACCCAGGTTTCCTGCATTGCAGGCAGATTCTTTACCATTTGAGCCTCCCGGGAAGCCCCGAGAGCAATAGAGGCTTGGAAGCAAAGGCAGCTCAAGATGTCTATACATTAGTACAGATGTTGCTACACCAATGGGTATAAAACAAAGGCCTCAGCAGAGTCTAGAAACAGGAAAAAGAAAGTGCTTCTCCTCACACATTGCCCATCAACCAAGCCCTTTTCCATTTCTTTCTGGAAACACATACACTCTTCCCTCTGACTATTATGTGAATCTAGCCTTTCCCAGAACATCTTTCTCCCATAGCACATAAAACGGACACAAAACAGCCTGGTGTTTAAACAACGTACACTCACTTGCCTCTCCCCAACTCAGAGGATGGCCCATCACATGGACAGATACGTTCCACCCACTGGGGTCACACCCCAGCCTTCCTGCAGACTGAACAGCAGGTATGCTGGGTCTTGAGGGACTATTCAGGATGGGACAACTGCTTAGGAAGCCTCCTCTCACCTCCTCCCCCATTGAACCCTGCTGACCTTGAATTTAAAGCATTTCCCAAGATCAAGACTCAAAGGTAAAGGTATCGAATTGGGGAAAGGGGTGAATGCAAGGATGCCAGGAAATGAACCTGTCACTCATAGGACACAGGACTAAGCCAGTCAACTGACCAGGCCTTTGGTCCTTGCCTCCTCTCTGCTCCAGCTTCAGCCTCTCAACACTGTTGCTGGTTAGAGCAGACCACCTCACCAGATAAGGGAAGGATTCTGCCCAGAGAGTAGCCTAGAAAGAAAAGCTACCCCATGCCCATCTACCCTGCGTCTCTCTTCACCAGAGTTTGTGGTTCAGAGTCACTTACCTTTTTCTTCTTCTTCAGAATCACTTTCACTCCATCCACTGAAACCATAATGCTCACCTTCTTCTTCTTGATGTTCTTCGCTTTAAACTCATACTGCAAGTGAGAAGAGAACAAAGAAGCGCAAACCAGTTAGAGCCGGTCATCTGCACAGACCCAGAGAGCCCGTGACCTGGAAAAGAGGGCCACGGATGGGGGTAGGGAGCTGCTGCAGTTTCTGGGGACACGGAGCACCTCAGGGGGTGTAAAAGCAGGTGGATGTCTGTAGGCAGGGGCTTGGCGATCCTTGGGATGGAACAGGGACTCTGAACGGTCGCTGGTGTCACACTCAGCTATCACACTGGGCCGTGCGAGTGGATCTGATCTATTCTATCAAGATGAAGACAGAGCCTGCTTTGAGAATCTCATGAGAAATCCAGACCCTTCCCTCAATAAATCATTCTGACATTTCATGACTTTCATTGTCAGTCAAGTTTTCCTTGAGTCTACCCAAATGCTGCTGAGACTCTATTCCATCCTCAACCAAGATTAAGAAGAGCTGGAATCCATCCTCAGATCAGGATTTTTACCTTCTTAAAGATCATTATGAAATCTAAATTATTCTCTACAAGGTCAAGTCCCAAATTCCCTTATCTGGAGGCCAGTCTTCAGATGTACCCACTAGTCTGAAACATTCTAGACAGTATTCTAAAAAGGATCTGACTACTGATGGTTACAACGGAGGGCATCTCATCACAAGCCCTACATTCTAAACTTCTACCTGCAATCCTGAACAGGCCTGCTTCAGCCACAAACTACACCGCTGATGGATGCTGGCCTTCATCCTCAATCCCAGATCTTCTTCTGTTATATTTCTCATTCACAGCCATTTCTTAAGTTTGTGCAGGTAGTCAGAATGGTGCTATAACTCTACATTTTCTTCACTGAACTTTATTCTAAGCACTTATCCATTTTCATCTGGTCCCCATCTTGGTATCACCACCTAGCAAACTTACCTGCCCAGCTCTCTAATCAAACATTTGGACCAGAGATTTAAAAATAATAATACAGGACCCAGGGCCAAAATGTCTACTCCAACCCATAGGCTCTATTCTCTGGGACATTTTATACTCAAGACCCTTCCCCACCATGCCACCACCCAAGCTTGGTAAAGTACCACCTCCTTGCCTGTACATCCAAAACCTATTTCTACTTGGTATTTCGAAAGACGTGAATGTAATCCACCCTAACAAGATGAAAACATAACTTACCTTGAAAATCTCACAAGAAATCTAGAACCTTTCCTCGGCCATGCTGTTATACTCTGATTTTAAGAACTCAAATGAGAGCTTCCTACCTGCCGGTACTTGATCCCCTCCACTGAAATGTCAGCGCATTTTCTTGCTCTGTTGCACAGCTAGCACTGATGCCCCTTGGCTGTCTGCTTCTTAGAGATAAGGACACAACCCGGCTAACTGAGGTGAAGTATTTTTCTTCACATCATCAGGGCAGGTTCCGGTTTACTGCCGATCTGAGACTCTAGGTGATAGCAACATAAATCACTCCCCAGCCTGGCGCTGCATCTCCTACCCTCCCAATCACTCTATCCTGTCAACAGCTGTCCTTTTCACCAGGGGTCCTGAAAGAAGAGCAGCAGACACAGAGGAGACAGAGAAAACATCAACTTCAGACTCTGTTTCAGAGTCTGGGAACCCAGAGCCAATCAAGAAGAATACAGTGAAGGACAGGGAGACGTGCTATCTGTACTGGAGTCTGGCTTGTGAGACAGCCTTGGTCATGTTACAAATTGCTGTCTAAGTCAACGGCTGCAAGCTGGTGGAGGGCAGAGCTGTGTGATCGGCACGCAACGCAAAACACGGCTACCATCTGCAGGGTGTTCCCCCGACTGCAGCATTCCGCTCAGGTGCAGCACTAGATGAGCTGAAATTATCTCTGGGTGGGAGAGCCAGCACGAAACTCTGTACGTCTGCTGACATTGGCCTTGCGCCCACTGGGAGCGGTGAACCAGCTCCATTTCCTGCCACACCTGCGTTTACCCCTGCTTGCAGGCTTTCAATGAACACAGTCTTTCAGCTGTGCCTCCCTTGGAAACAAATCACTAAAATCACAGCTGCTCCTGCCAGTAGCAGGAGTGCAGAGGGGTGTGTTCTGATGAGCTCAGGTGGGAGATAAGGGGTTAAGAATCCAGGAAACACCTGGAGGTGGACAAAACCTGACCCAAACAGGTCAACCTCTGCCTGCTTTATTGTCTTTGCTCTCATCCAGTACGCCATTCCCACAAGTTCCACACACTCCTTTCTTCCCTCTTTCCAGCAACAAATCAAAGCAGCGAATATTAAGGGCGTCCCTGGTAGCTCAGTCAGTAAAGAATCTGCCTGCACTGCAGAAGACCCGGCTTTGGCTTCGATTCCTGGGTTGGGAAGATTCCCCTGGAGAAGGAAATGGCAACCTACTTTCAGTATTCCTGCCTGGAAAATCCCATGGGCAGAGGAACCTGGTGGGCTACAGTCCATGGGGTCGCAAGAGTCAGACACAACTTAGCAACTAAACCTCCATCTCTGCAAAGCACGATGTCACTTCCCTGCCCTGGTTCTAGACAGCATATTATTGCCGGCTGAACCAGACCCATAAATGGCTTCTATTTCCAGAAAAATATGACTATGTCGCTTTATTGTTTGGTCCATGGTCCTATTGGTTTCATTCTCTTTGGGACTTTTTTAAAAATCAATATCCCTGCCCCCAAACCAAGGCTGGCAAGAGGTGCCCAACCAGCTCTTGGCCTGTATATCTAAAATCTAAACCATTTCCATAGTTCGTGCTTTGACCACCTTGGTCATATCTTTAATATCCTGATCATAAGAACTCAAAATGCAACTAAACATTCTCTTTGGAAGTGGAAAACAGCCTCTAACTTGATCACTGCCATAGCTGCAGACAGCTCTTCTTTGGTGTGTGGGCACGGGACAGCATGGAAAAGCATGACCGAGGGACTGCACTAGACTCTCAGTGACAGGGACGACACAGGTGCTCCCCCGCACGACAGCTGCTGGGCGCTCCCAGCAGTGCTTCAGAGTCGAGGGGGGCGAGAGAGGCAGGAACAGGCTTCCGGGCCCCATGGCAGCGGCCAGCATGGACTGCCTGGGCACTGCCAAGGCTCTCTGCCTGGACCCACTCTGCACCCACTCCACATGTCCGGTGGCCGGATGTCTCAAACCCTTTCCAACCAGAGAACAGGTACTCAAACTGCAGTTCTGTCGAAAACCAGGGAAATGAAATCAAGTGTCTGAAAAGGTTCAAATCTTTATTATCATAAAACCATTTATTTATATGGCAATTATACTTCAATCGGACAATCATGTTATTATGCTCACTGGGGGGGGACAGAAAATGGATTTTAAAGAGAGAAGATGATAGGAGTGGCCGGGGAACAGAGAGAAGAGGTTCACAAGGAAAAGCTCTCCTCTTTCTCAGACTGCACCATTCCAAGGGGTAGGCAGGTCCGGGAGGAAGCATCTGTGTTCTGCCGGGTAGGAATCTAGTCTGCCCAGGTTTTGCCAGGGGCCGCAGAACAAACAGGACTGCTGGTGCCACCGTCTGCGGCCCAGGCCAGCCTTCCACAAAGCCTGTGCCAGCTCTGAAGTCTGTGCCAACAGCCCTGGCTCTTCCCCCAGAGCAGCCAGGCTGACCTGATCTATTTGCTTTGCTAGTCAGAGCCCCACCAGCAAGGACAGATTAAGGCCGACAGGACCTGACCTTTTAGGAAACAAAACATCACAAGCCCTGGAACACTAACCACTGACTAGAGAGACCAAGTGTCTGGGTTCATAAACAAGAGCCTGGGGACCCTGTGTGCGAATAGTGAGTGTGCTGTGCCAACCAGTGAGGCCCGTGAAGGGGAGGCTGGGTAGAGGGAGGCCCAGATTCAGCAGGTGCCAGGAGCAAACACCCAACCAGGGACGTGAGTACGAATGTCGGCTGGACGTCAGAGAGCTGCCAACAGAAGAGGTTCTCTCTGGGGCCCCAGTGTTTCCTTGTCCCCAGCTCCCAGGGCTAGCCCCTAATCCTGTGTGTCTCCAGTTCCAACGACAGGGTGTCCAAGAAGGGGAAGCAGGAGGTCTGTAACCGAGGTGTGTGTTAACGAAGGGACGGGCCCAGCCCTGCTGTGCTGCAGAAATGAGTATTAATGACAATCACTTTCTTAGGAGCCAGGGGAAGCTTGGGGCTGTATAGACAGACAGACAGAGACACACACACACACACACACACACACACATCCATTTCCATGAAAATGTCTAGCTCCCTGAAGAATCCTGGATTTTTTAATAAGGATCTTTGGTTTTTCAATTATCTTGTCTACAATTTACCTAGTGATGCACACTCATCAGCTACATAGGAAGCTGATCCTCTCACTCTTCTCCATAAAATTTCCTTTGCCCAGCTCCTTCCCCCTGTCCCCGCAATGCTTCCACTTATGAATCAAGGTGCTACTTGACCGAGAAAGGAGATTTAGTTTGCAAACACAGATAGTGATGTTCTTGCTTGGCCAAGCTCCTGGCTTATAATCAGCTGTGTTTACTACCTTTCTAGAATAAGTCTTATGGCTTTGCTTCCTGTGACTGACCACAGAAAATTTCAAATGAATTCTGGTAGTGCATTTAGGCATTTTAATCACATTCTGCCCACAGTCTCGGGTTCAAGAGTGCAAACACATCTCTATAGCAAAACTGTAAGCACTTCAACCAAAGGCACCATCTTATAAATGGTTTGTAGAAAATCACTTTGCACTTAAAGTTGGGAAGTTTAACAACGTACTTGAATGTGTGCGTGCTCAGTTGCTTCAGTCTTGTCTCTTTGCGACCCCAAGGACTATAGCCCGCCAGGCTCCTCTGTCCATGGGATTTTCCAGGCAAGAATACTGGAGTGGGTTGCCATGCCCTCCTCCAGGGCATCTTCCTGATGCAGGGATTGAACTTGTGTCTCCTGTGTCTCCTACAGTGCAGGCAGATTCTTTATCTTCTGAGCTATCGGAAAAGTCCCGATTCCACCTACATGAGGTACCTAAGAGAACTCAGATTCACAGAGACAGAAAGTAGAAT